AGATAAAAAGAGGTCTGGGGTATACAGCTTATTGTTAGAATTGCTTGTCTGGCATTGGGAGCTTATAGGTTCAGTTCCCAGTCTGAGGATTACTGGTCAAAGCCTCCAGAAAGCAAACAGGCTAGATTTTAGCTTTGTTGGATACCAAACATATAGCCCTGTAATGGTGTCCCAACTTCTGACTGCCCAAACTGGGAGCTAATAATATGTGTTAAGTTGCTGTGTTTGTGGCAATTTGTTAAGAACCCACAGAAAATGAACACATGAAGGAAATTTGGCCAACAAATCTCCATTGGTAATTGCAAAGCCATTATCATTATTTTGAGTTTTAAAGAAAAAGCATCCATAAAATTGCTGCTAGTGGCTCCTATGAAGAGCTCCCAGGTTCCTACTTCTGAGCTGTTAACGCTGTCAATGACAGATGCAGGAGCTGTTACCCTTCTCTGCAGAATTTAGGATGTTTCCTCAAACTGGCAGTTTCAGACTTAGGGAAGGACACATGGAAAGCTAGATTGCTCCCTGGGTGGGCATTCACTGACAAAGGCTAGGCACAGCAGGAAGGTGGCGTCTTCTTCCACTCGCCTCCTAAACCTTGCTGAAGAGGCCTGCATGTAAGGATCCCTGACTCTGAGGCTGGGTGAGAGGAGGCCAGGGGTGATGAGGAGTCCAGGGAAACAGGGCCTGGAGGAGCCCAGGCTTTCCCTGAAGTCACAGTTGCCTGCTGGCTGTTGACTGAGTTATAACATTCTGGGTCCAGTGTCATAAAACCATCCAGATTTCTAAAAGAAGTTGAAATTGCAGATATTTCTGTGAGATATCACATATTTTAAATATGTAATATAGCAGATCAATCTTCAAAATTCCACCGTGGAGTCCTGTGAGCCTGGGTGTGGCTGACGAGGCCAGGGCAACTGTGCCTCACTGGAAGTGAGTGTGTGGGAATAGCTTAGGAAACAGAACTGGAGGGTGTGAATGTTATCCATTCCCTGAGCTGTGTCTGTTTTGTTCACTGCCATTTCCCCAAGCTGAGAAGTTTGTGGCACTCAGCCAGTGCTCAGTAAATGTTTGTAGAGAATCAATGGAGGCATTCACCTATCTATACACGAGTGAAAATGCCCAGCACGGCAGCCTTACTGAAACTAGGTTCTCGGGTTTGAGGACTTCAAATGCTGTGATGTGGTACAATTTGACTATCCCAATGTGCTTTTATCCCACTCTTCCATTAAAAAAAATCATTGGAGCACTGTGTGGAAGTCATTAACCACAAATCAGAACAGAGCAGGAGCTGGCTCACTTCTATGTTGTCTGGGTGCCTTGAACTCTTAAATATGTATAGGTGTTCTTTCCTGAAGTTGAGTTTCTCATATGGCTGAAATTTCCTGTTGCTTTGAAATAAACCCATGCCTCAAGCACTGTGGCATCATGAGTGGCAGGGCTGCAGCAAGGTGTTTTCTGATGGCTTTTCTACATGCCTTGTTTGGTAAGGCCAAAATTCAGTTGTGTTTTTTTTCCATGAGAAGAAATCCCATAGGAAACCACAATATTTATTTTAATGTTAACATGCCTTATTTGCTGGGCTTTCCTAAAGAATGAATTCATGTTTCATAATCTCTTTAAAATGACAATATTTGCTGGCAAACTTAGTGACTTGCAGCCTTAGAGAACAAAACAAAATATAACAACACACAGAAACATCAAGCTGGCTCAGCAGGTAAAGGCTCTTGTTGCCAAGCCTGATGACTTGAGTTTGATTCCCAGGACCCACATGGTGGAAAGTGAGAGCTGACTCTACAAGTTGTCCTCTGACCTCCACACATGCACTATGGCATGTGTGTGCCCACACTTGCAGCACAGACAGAGACACAGACACACACGCACACACACAGATGCATGTTAAGGAACATGCACACTTTAGTGAAATGTAATGAAATCTAATTTATACAGCATAAAATTCACCTAATTAGAATGTCTAATTCAGTGGGTTTTAGTGTATATTCAAAATTCACCACACTCTATGCTTGTAACCTCCTGTCATCCCCACCTCCCAGAGGATTGCCACAGCTGTTAGCAGTTACCCTTCAGCTTCCCTGCCCCTACAGCGCCCACAGCACTAGGGGACCTCATCTGCTTGCCTCCTCTGTGGATTTGCCTCTTCTGGGCATTATACACCCGTAGATCATGCAGAATGTGGTTTTACCACTAGTTTCTTTCACTAGCATAATGTTTTTTTTAAGTTTATTCTCATTGTCACATATGTCGGTATTGCTTTGTCAGTGCAGAATATTCCATCAAATGACTCTACCACGTCTTTGATCCATTCATTAGTTGATCCAGAATGGTTTCTACTTTGGTTTTTGGGAAAATTTTTGCATTTTCTGTATGGCTATGTTGTCATTTCTCTTGGTTGGAAATTTAACAGTGGAGTTGTTGGATCATATAGCAACTTTATATTTAACAGTTGAGACTGTTTTTCAAAGTAGTTACATCATTTTACATTCCTACCTTTAGCATATGAGGGTTCTGGTTTCTCAGTTCTTACTGACTTGTTATTTTCTGTCTTGTGATTAGTTTCGCTAGTATGAAAAGTGGTAACTCATGATGAGTACGCTGAGGGTGCTCACTCACAGGTGCCCTAATCAGGACTAATCCCCCAGTATTACCTCCCTCATGGAAGCTACCATATTTCCTGTATTATGTTTATGTTTGTAATTATATATGAGCATGAGACTGTAGACTCTGTGAGGACGGATACTAGTGTGTAGAGAAATCCCTCATATGTCTCCGAGCACGGAGCACAGGGCCTGGCACCTAACGTTCTCAGTTAATCACTGTTGAATGGGTTAAATAATTAAGTGGTTCACCCAGAACTGAGACATTAAGCTTCATGTTTAATTCTACTAAACTTAACCTTCTTTTTGTTGACTACGGTAAACTGAAGCCCTGGAAAGCTAAACCAAGGCTCAGAGGTGGGAGGAGGCTCTGCTTTGACATCTGTGATCTGCTTTGCGTTCATGTCTGCCTTGTGCTGTGAGGTAGCTGGCTGCCTTCCTTCTTTTGCCTGTGGCTCCGGTTGTGCTCCCACTCTGTGGAGTTCATATACTGTTTCCCTCTGTTTTACACATGATGTACAGCAGATTTGGTCTTACTAGGATCAGCACAGTTTTGGGATTTGTAAATGCTTCCCTTTTACATTATAGAAAAATAAGTTTCTTCTTTTGAAAGACCACACACACACACACACACACACAGAGAGAGAGAGAGAGAGAGAGAGAGAGAGAGTCGCATACTCTCATACATTGTCCGTCCACAGACAACATTTAACCCTTCAACGCCGAGAATAATATCTGAATGAGAAAGCTGATACGTTAGGATCTTTGAAGACTCCCAGCCGATGACATCATTATGATATGACAGTAATGAAACAGTTTGTGCCGAGCTGCTGTGCTGCCTTCTTCTCTGTAAGGTGTTTAGACATTGGTTTTCCTACCTGCTGCAGACCTACGCTTGATGGTCATAAAGGATTAAAGAAAGGAAGGGAAAA